CTACGCAAACACTATTTCAGTGAGTGAATAGTGAACCTGTGAAACAGGCTCCTTAGGGAGATGGTTGAAGCAAGAAGTGTTGATTCTTTCAAACAGGTTAGATAGTTTCCTTTTAGGAAATAACATTATGGGATATAGTACATAGGTAGTTTAAGACATGTGTGCATGCGACCGCCAGGAAAGTGGAAGGCGAATTAGATGTACCTTGGTCTTTTTTCGTCTAGCATTTCTTATGTCCTTAAGTAATAAGCACTGATGAAATGGTGAGCTTCTGGTATTTATTCGTCCCTTTGTAATGTCTATAAGCTGGTTAACTAGGCTGATCATATTTGAAGTCAATACTATGAAATCAGTTGTTATCCAATGCCTTTAAAGAAAAAGTTAGGTAGGAGATACCCTTCTGCATCCAGCTTCTAGGAAATAGTTCTCTGCATCCTGCAATGTCTGCTTTCAATTGACAAGCTTATCAGTGATGTGTGCAATCCTTCTCATTCATCTTGTATTCTGTGCCTTTTTGCTTATCAAAACTTTTTTCAATCTTTATCAATTTGGGATTTGCAATTTGCTGTTTTATGAATCTCAATTTGATAGTTGTAAACCAGAATTTACAGTAGCAAATGTGGTGTGTAAACACATCACTAAAAAGCACGGCTGTTTTTCTATGTAGAAGTGATATCTGGTCCCATGCAAATATTTGGTCTTTTGATTCTTGTCTATTTTATATCTTTATTGGAACATTATAATCTATTTTGTAATACACAGGAACACTAGCAGTAAAATATATTGATGTCTTGATTCTATTCAATACCCATTGTTACATATGCTTATTTATTTTATGGTGGGAAGCGAGGAAATAGAAAAGGAGAAAGAAATAGAATAGCTGTCCAGAAGAGTGTTCAAAATCATAGAATTATACAGCACAGAAGGAGGTTAATCGTCCCATCATGTCTGTCCCGACTCTTTGAAAGAGCTGTCCAAATTCATCCCACTCCCCCTCTCTCTCCCCATAATCCTACAAATGATCGGAAATAAAAATAATTGCTTTGTATGCATAAAGGAATATTGTAGGATGTGGTCCTAAAATGGCCTTCTGCTGAAGTATTTGATGCCAAGTTACTGTATTAGATGTATTAAAAATCATACGATGAAATCAAAGTTCAGGGTTGAAATAAAAACATAGGTGGTAACCCCCCCCCCCTTAACATAACCATGCCATAATTATGCACACCACTTAATTTGTATTCTTAATTATGCTTAAAATAGATAGCTATGTCTCAATTAATAATGGCGAAGGAATTGTTGATGCAGTCGTACAGAACACTGGTCAGACCTTGTTTGTAATATTGTGTTCAGTTTTGGGTACTCAACCTTTGGAAGAATATATAGGCTTTGGAAGGTGTCCAGTGCTTTGCCTGGAATGATGAAGAGATTAGGCTATGTTGGGAGTCTGGGGAATTTTTTATATTGCATAGAGTTGAAGAGATTAGAGGGATATCTAATTATGTTTAAAAATAATGAGGGAGTTGAAAAGTTATAAAGGGGTGACCCAACAAGGACCCAAAGATTTTAAAATTAAGGTCTCTATCAGTTATAAACTGCCCAGTAGAAAATTGTGTACTCGCGATTTTCCGTGAAATCCGCTACAAACAAACCCCCTCTGTGAAAACCTGTAAAAATGAAGTTTGCATGGTACCCATACTTCTGTGCGCTGCTGTTCGCTTGATGCCTCTGTGCCGCAGAGCTGCTATGCTCATGCGTGTGCAGAGTGGGAAGTGTTGGGATTGTGGCAGCGGCATGGGCAGAAAATGTGCTTTGCTTCCCCTGATGTGCTGCCCTTGGGATTGTCTAGGTCTCTCTCCTCTGTACGTACGTGTGTGTGTGTGAGTCTGTCTCTCTCTCTCTCTCTCTCTGTCTATGGATGTGTGTGTTCTCTCTGAGTGTGTCTATCTGTGGTGCCGGGCCCTAGAGGCACAAGGTGGTAGATTTTAGCAAATATTTCCGCAATTTTCTATTGATCTAGTTATAAGTGAGGTCAGAAAAAGTGTGGCAAGAATGTTGAATGCACGTGCAATACTATAGCTGCACAATTAAGATGTTTAAAAAGCAAGCTTAACTAATAACGTGAGAAGTAAAGGTATTAAAAGATATGGAGAAAATGTTTTGGGAAATGCAATTAAAATCTGTGACAATCTGGTAAAAGGGAAGGACTAAATTACCTATTTGGCCTGCTCCTATTATGTTAACGGTGCAGACAGAAAATTTTGAACTGTGATAGTGTTGGTCTTTAAACTTTTAACAAAAAACTTTATAACAGCAAATTGAGCAATTAAATTCAAGCTTTATTATCCATATAGGTCTTATTTTAAATAAAAGAAGCAATGCAACCGATGCTTTTTTAAAAAAAATCCACTTTTATTAACATGCAATAAGCATACTTTTGATGCACTTTCACTGCTCTTTTTGATGCCCTCTAGAGGCTAAATATATTACAATATTCCTACAATAAATGTATCAGTATTTTCATTGAAGGACTACTTTTGAAAAATTGTATAAAATATTTAAGGATTCAGTACTTGACTCTCAGTAACCATAGTTTCTTGGGTATACAACAAAAGTTACTGTAAAAGTTTTCAAAAACCTGGAAGCAAAAGCGTTTTCAAATACCTTTTGAACCTGATTTAAATGTTCAGATAGTTTGATGTGAGTACTGTAAGATGCTGGGTAAATCGTGTGAAAAGTAGAGAAACTGAACTTGAAGTTCAAGTGGACAGCACTTTGAAAACGATGATGCTGTGAAGAATGCTGTTCGTCAATGGCTCCATAACACAGAACCGTCATTTTATCGCTATGGCATACTGGCATTGGTTCCAAGCTGACGCAAGTGTGTAGATCATGATGAGGATTTTATAGAAAAATAATATAGAAAATGCACTGGTGTATTCAAAAAAGCTTCTTTTATGTCCAGGTTAAGTTTGTAAGTTAACAATTAAAGAATTTTGATTAAAAATAAAAAGGATGCGTTCCTTTTGGGGCATCCTTCATATACTATCACAAGGTCTTTAGTGGGAACTTGAGAATAGATATGACTTTGGTTTAATGGCTCATATGAAAGACTGAACCATGACAATTCAGCACTCATCAGTACTGCAATGGAATGTCAGCTTACATGCTGGAGTTTAGTGAAAGGATGGAAGACTACGTAAAAATAAGACAAGCAAATCAAGTTTTTAAGTCTACTGTCCCTTTAAAAATGTTGCGTTCTCCCTAAATGCATGATGGGTAAAAGTGGTACCCTTTCATGTCGGGACGTCCTCCTGACGTGAAAGGCGCTTTACAAATGTAATGTTGTTGTTGTTGCTGATATGCCAGAAACTCGTATGAATGTGTCAAGCTGCTTATCGTGAATTTCAATCGTAATTTTTTTGGTGACCTATTGGGTTGCAGGTTTTATTTATGGTCTGTGCTTATGTCAGCCTTGGCACCAGTTTGGGTACAATTAAGCATTTGTGGTGTTTCAGTTGACCTTAGCTTCCATGGAGTAGGGAGGGGAAAATCAGCCAGGGTTTCTGCTATATTTCCTATCCAGTGATTCATCCTTGAAAGTACATGGATGAATTTTAATTGAGAACAGGATTTAGGCTTAGCTGTGAAGCCCTCCATGATTGAATATTTTCTGAGCAGTCATTTATTCCACATTATCACTAGCTCATCAACAAATGTTGTGCATTCCAGTTCCATGTATGGCAAAAGCCTTTTTTTAATGCAACAGTAGTGTAGAGAAATGTTATAATGAAAAGAATTTTAGAAAAGGCAATTTGTGTTCCTAATGGGATCAATGATCTGTCTTGTGTGTCTAAGTGCTCTGGGACGCTACCCAGTGCGAGGGGTGCCATATAAATGCAAGCTGGTCTTGTCCATGCACGGACCGTGGGTGGCCAAAAAACTATTGCGTCCAGATTTGTAATGGAGGAGCTACTGATAGCAGTTAAAAGTGTGCAACTTACCAATATGAGGAACTGTAAGCTTGATAGACCTCCTGTCCAGCCTGGGCCACCCAACCTATTTTGGCTGTTGCCTTGCAGGATTATCAGGAGCTGGGTGACATGAATCCTGACCTTCCTGTCCCTACCTTGTGACAATTCTACCCCTCCTGAGTTCCAATGGGAAAAAAAGCAGGCAATGAACAGTCATCCATTGTGCCTTGAGAGTATTTCAGAATTGTCTGGCTCGGCTGTTGAACGCGAGGCCACCAATGGGAGCTGATTCCTCTCTGCTCTCCCTTTGCTAGGCATGTCACCATGGAGCCAGAGAGACCCCGCTTAACTCCTTCTGGGAGTAGTCATCAGGGAGCAGGTTTGAACTGGATGGATAGCTAGTACCTCCCACGTGGTGAGCAATACAGCTTTATGTAAGGCATGTGAGTGCATTGCTGCCGCCCTCCAGACCACTAAACAACATGTTAAATTGGTCCACTAAAATGAATGAATTAATGGTCTCATTCTTTCTTTGGAAAATGCTAATCTACTTAAATGCAAAATGCATGTTCTGTGCAGGGAGAATGATTCTTTATTATGAAACTAAACTACTATGATGGAAATTAATGGGCCCAGAATACTTGATGTACATTTTGATAGTGCATTAACCTATCGACTAGTGTGAAATTCTTCTCATAAGTATTTTTAGACAGGTTTTGTGGTTTCTCGCTGACTTGCGCTTGACAGGAAGTACTGTTTTTGGATTAAACTTTTCCATATTTTGCCAGCCCTTTTTATTGTTGAGTAATTTAGATTGAAAATTAAGATTTATTAAAAAAAAACAAGTTTTTTGAAACAATTCATAAAATAACTTGTATTGTTTAGTGATAATTTGAGTTTTGAAGCTTGTGAAATGTGCTCTTTCATGTTAACAGGAAACTGCAAACATAGTTTAGAAGCTGTGGTTAAACTGGTGATTAGGGTGACAGCCTTTTTAGTTGCAAACAGGAAGTTCGATTTGCAGACTCCATCTACAGTGCTTTGCAATAAACACAGTGTTATAAATTTGTAGCTCTTAAGACTCTAAATGTGACCCCCATCCCCCTTCAAAACGACAGATGGCTCAACAAAGGGATATAAACAATCAACAGTGTATAGGGAAGGAATCTTCAAAGACCTCTTCAGCTCTGGTGAAACTGGAAGTCCTAGCGAGCAGATTTTTTTATAGTCAACCACTGGTGGCTACCATTGAGCAAGGACTGCACCATGTTTCGCAATACACTCTTAGTTGGGATCAATGGAGTAAGTTTTACTGTTGATTTTAGCAAGCTGGTTTTGTAGAAAGTAATCATAAATCTTAGCCAATGAATTTTGCTGCTGATTATAAATGTGTGGATTTGTGCAGTAATTTTACAATATTAAATTTTACAATACCTGTGTATAAAAACATTCCAAGATAAAGGAACCACAAACTGCTGTTAACTCAATGTGTATACATCACTAGTCAATCCACAGGAAACATGTTGGGCTTTTTTTGGTTCCATATATCTGCAATTCAAAGAGCACTGTTTGTATGGAAATGTTAAGCACATTATTTTTGTTTGGGGTGGGAATGAACTGCATAATTTTTGGCTGATGTAAACGCCAAATAACCTGGTTTAATTCCAGCAATGCAACTGGTTATGTTTGCAAATTTTATATTTAAAAAAATATTTTAGGCTGAGTACCAAGTGGGATTTCCATCCTTAAGGGTGGGAAGAGAAGGGAAGGAACAATAATTTCGAACAGCTTCAAAGATTTTGCATTTATTCACCATTCTACTAAGTGGGTTTCATTCTCTTGGAAGCTTCTTAGATTTACTGGTGCGCTCACACCATACATTCCTCAGTCCCTTCATTATGTCCCATCCCTGTGGATCTTTGTCAGTATCGTGAATTTTCCGTGTTGTAATGCGAAAATGGCTTCTGGAATATAAATAGAGCCATCATTTTTACATGTGCAATTTGATTATTTAGTAACAGACTAAAATATATATATTGTTTATGTTCAATTTCAGAGTTCTCGACAGTCATGCCATTTATACTTTTAGAGATTATGGTATTAAGTAATCCAATGCTAATTCTTGGAATGTTTAATATTCTTTCAAGCCTTTGAAATATGTTCTGCACTTTCTATTCCAGAGCACATCACAGGTTTTGCAAGTTTATAATGCTAAATATCAAGTTCATATGTTTATATTAAACCATAGAACATTTAAAGCCAAACCTTTTATGGGAAATATAAAGTTAAAACAGGAATGTAAACATTTGTACTCAACTGGTATTATGAGGCATTTAGATATCAGCTTCTTATTCACTGAAATTTCACACCCTGGCCTAACCCATGATCTTATCCCTATCCAGGCTTATCTGCAAGAATGATGCATTTGCTTAATTTCATTACAACATAATCTTGTCATGTGATACAGAAATGGGGGAAGGGGGAATAAAGAAATCTAATGTGTACAGTATTACCATTTTAAAAAAAGGACAAGTTTTCTAGAATTCATCTCACAAGTGTAGATGATCTGGGCAGTCTTCAATGTAAGTAAGCAATTTGAAGTGCAGAGCATTGATAAGAATCACATACAGAGTTCCACTGAAAACATGAAACAGGTTAGTAGGACTGTTTCCCTCACATGATGAAATTCCACTCGGTCTTGGCTTGTAAGATAGTTTTGTCTTTAATTTTAAGATTTATGGATGTTTATTTTCATCAGACAATTTTCTTGATAGAACTCTATGAAGGTCATGTGTACTATTTTTAAGGTTATCCTGACTTTCACACATGCCAGATCTAAATATCTTGAAAAATAGTTTTAATTGAAATGTTAAATTTGCCTCCATGTCCACAAGGACTAAGTTGCAACGTAAAGTGCCTTTTGTACCCACCAATCTTGGTTTGACTCTTAAGCATCATTAACATATTTTTATAAATCATTCCAGGAGCTATGCAAAGTTTTGTTTCTTTGTTTCTTTAACTGAAAAATACTGAAAACTCTCCAATTGATTGCAGTTTGATTTTCTGACATTAGTGCGTTTGTTTTCACACTTCATTCCTTAAATATACAGTAGATACTAAACAAGCAGTCCCAACAAAAAATATTAGGCAACTTACACTCTCAAATGTTTTAATAGTCTCATCCTAGTGTAGGCATAACATTTCTAAACTACATGACTCATGTTTCCACTACCTTTTATATTCAGACTAATTTATATCATGACTTATGTTGGCAATATCGGCACACTGATAGCACCTCACAATTTTCAATTTAGACACGTGTTCAGTAATTCAAGCAGCTTTGCTAAGTGCAGTTCATCTTTTGTACATTTTGGTGAAAATATTAAATTTGACAGTTGAGTTGCCTGTTGCTAATTCGACTAAGATTTTGCTAAAGGTGATGTGTATTTTCCAAAGTAACCAAAGTGTCATTTGTAATTATTATACTTATTTCAGATTTTGTGTTGCAAAACTGATTGAATTATAAAAAAAATTCCCCCCTCCCATTGGTTATTTACTAAATAAGGCTATCAGCCCAACCCATATTTTAAACCCCACTTTGATGTAGTTTGATAATAATAGTAATAATCCTTGCACTTGTTATAGCACCTTATCATGTCTTCGAGACATCTCAAAGCAGTTTACGGAATATGCTGTAAAGTGAATTGACTATATATTTTGTTTGTGAAACGCGGCAGTGTGCCGTAAACAGCAACAACAAGATTCCATTTGTAGAGCGCCTTTCACGTCGGGAGGACGTCCCAAGGCGCTGTACAGTTGGGTCAGGACCCGAGCAGGGGGTAAATGGTCAGGGTGAGGGGAAGGAAGGAAGGGAGCGAGGAGGGGGTAGAGAGTCGAGAGAGGAGCTGAAGGCACAATCAAAGAGAAAGGTCTTGAGACCGGCCTTGAAGGAGGAAAGGGAGGAAGCAAGGCGAAGGCACTGGGGGATAGAGTTCCAGTCATGGATTGAGTGATCAAATTATTAATATTTTTTGAAAGGATTAATACCCCAGGAAAAGCAATCCGCCAATCAACTTGTATCCGGGTTCCTACTTTAATGCTAGGTAAAAAGAGGCATATGAAGTAAGGAAACTTGCCCAACGTTTTGCCCTCCCGGGAATCGAACCCAGGTTGCACCAATCAATAACAATACATTTATATAGCACCTTTAGGTAAGGAAGGCATCTCACAAAGTGCTTTACACAGCTAACTGGTCATCTGAGCTGGTGCAAGGTGAGCTGGGGGGAGGTGACTGGAAAGGAAAGTTGAAAGCTAGGTAAGGCTGGCTTTAAAGGCGAGTAGGAAAGCGGTGAAGCAGAAGGAGGAATTTCAAAATTTGGGAGTAGAATGGCTGGAAGTTTGTCCACTGCTGGGCTACTTGTAAAGCTCCAACATTGTAAAGCTTCTTTTAACATCTTATTTGCTTAAAATAGCTTCTGGTTGAAAACAATTATTGAGTCCAACCACATTAGATATTTGAATATAATTTACTTGGGACACTGTTACTTTCTTTTTAAGTCATTTGAAAACCAGTTAAAAACATTACCCTATATCCTCCAAAGAAGTGTTTAATCTATTTTATCAGTTTTAATTTCTTATTTTTAGAACTGTTTGTAATGCAGTTGGATAGTTAAATTTAAAATCATTAAAACAACAACAGCTTGGATTTATATAATGCCCTCCACGTTGGATGGCGTCTCAGAGCGCTTCACAGTAACGGATCCTGGGGCCGAGCCAGGGGGAGGAGCAGGAAGGTGATCAAAGGCGCAGTTGAAAAGAAAGGTCTTCAGTAGAGATCTGAAAATAGGAAGAGAAGGGATGAGGCGAAGGGAGTGAGGAACGGAGTTCCAGAGCCTCAGAGAGTAGTGGCTGAAGGCATGGCCGCCGAGGGTGGAGCGGAGGACTCCGGGGACAAGGAGGAAGCCAGACCCGGAGGAACGAAGGCACCGGGCACTGTTTTGAGGAGAGAGGAGGTCAGAGAGCTAGGGGAGTGCGGAGGAGTGGAGGGATTTGAAGATGGGTGAGGAATCTTGAAATCGATCCTCTCTGGGACAGGGAGCCAGTGCAGTCTGGCAAGGACTGGGGTAATCTGGAAGCGGAGTTTGGTGTGGGTGAGAATGTGGGTGGCAGAGTTTTGAATAATCTGGAATTTATGGATGGTAGTGGAGGGGAGGCCGGCGAGGAGGGCATTTGAATAGTCCAGCTGAGAGGTGACAAAGGCATGGACCAGGGTTTCAGCAGCTTTTGAAGTGAGGTATTGGTGGAGATGGGCAATGGGTCAGAGGTGGAAGAAAGCGGTGCTGGTAAGGGACCAAATGTGGAGGAGGAAGGATAATTGGGGGTCGAACCTGACACCTAAACCATGTTGATTATTCATTCTTAACATTTCTATGACTACCATTTTGGAATCTGCATTCTTTTTTTAAAAAAATCTATGCCAACATTCACTTTGTCCAGCATTGAGTTAAGTAACCTGTATAATTTTTTAAAGAAACATGATTTGTGAAATTACTGGAAGACAAAGTAAAGTAAGAGTCGTATTAAGCAAAATCAAAGCATGCAGTTTCTCTTTATCAGTTACTCAGTTTAAAAAGCTTGAAGGTGATCAATGTTTGAAGCAGGGAAAGTATATTAAAATAAGTTTCTAACAATTTTTATTTTTAAAGTCCTGATCACAGTAGTGGCATGTGGAGTTCTGTTACAGCCACTGTATAGTTTATTTTGTGTACGATTGTAATAACATTTAGTAGCTAGTTACAACCACTTTAATCCAAAGGGCCTTGAAGGGAAACTGAAATGGGTATTTAAAGAGTTTGTCTTTGTAGCATCACAAATGGCTTGATTGGAAGCAGTTGGGCTGTAAGCACCAATGATTTATGTTCCTTTACCAACCCTCTTCCTGATACTTTATTTGTCATGTTAAAATTGACCTACTTGCAAATGCAACAGTGTAATTTTCCAAACCTAGTCTGGTTGATTGCCTGCGAAAAAAAACGCATGATATTCTATTACTATGTTTACTATTGGTCACAGTTGAACCTGAAGTTGAGAGGATTATAAAATCTATAATTTTATTCAGTTGCTATGACCCTTGGAATGTCTTGCAGAATCAGCTTGTGGTTAGTTTTGAAAATAATTATGTATGCTGGAGACAGATCATGAAGGTATTGAAGGTGGCTGTTCAGATAGTTCTCTCCAAAGTGGTATCCAGATGTAAAAGACATTTAAAAATCGGCAATGCTGTGCTAGTGTATTTATGTGAAGTGACATTTTGCAAAGCAGAGAACCTAGAAATTATGCCTGGAAATTGCCTATCATCTCCCTTCCCTTCCAAAGCTCAGTTTACCAGCCAGTTGTGTGAAGTGTTTTTAGATGTCATTCTGATGTGAAAGGCTCTGTATAAACATAAGTGTTGTGTTTCTTGGGGCTGGTTTGCTGATATCTCGATTTCTCACCCTGCCCTCCCCCCCCACACACACACTTTATCTGTGATAGAGATGGAAAAAGTAGGATATGGAAAGAGTTGAATAGAGTATTGTAGTCCACATCAGGCCTGATATTGTTGGTGCGGGTTAACATACTTGTCTTTCATTAAAATATTTCCATCTGCTTTAGATTCTGTTTAATTTCTATATGGGGATACAGAAATGTGATTAATTTTTTAAATGGGCTGATTCAATCCATTGACTTTTGACTTCACATTGTTTCATTTATCAACTGACTATCCTTAAATGGGTAATTTAATAATTTATAGGCTTCAAAAAGCATACAAGTGAAGGGAATAAATGTAATTAATTCACTGACAGAATAAATTAATAATCGATTGCCTTGCTAGAGAATTGATTCACAGTCTGAAGTGAATAAATAATTGATCAAGAGTCTGAAGTAAAAAATGCAGCTTCCCTTGTGGATCAGGGAGTATATTTAGAGAGTAACTGAACTGTTTGGACCACAAAGGTTCCAGGTTTCAATCCAGTTCTGGGACTCAGTGATCTGGGACGCTACCCTGTGTGAGAGGCACTATATAAATGCAAATTTTTGTTTAAGTTGGGTGGGGCATCAGTAAGTTTGCTCTGATTGATCTTAGCACTCCAACACAGGGAGCAAGTCTATTCCTGCCAGGTTTGTACATGATTATGTTGAACACCCAGCTATTGCTTCTTATAGATACTGGAAGCCAATATTGCAGCGAGAGGCGGAAGTCAAATGCCTTCACTTCCTGATTTTCACTGACTTAAAAATGGTTCTTGTTTTAATGTCTGCTTAATTTACAAGAGGAAATGATAGAAAATATGACATGGGGGAGGAGGCCCTGGTAGAGATCAAAAAATGTTTTCTTAGGAGACTCTGCTTCAAAGTTGCAGACTTTTATATTTATAAATTATACGATGCAGAAAGTAAAATGCCACTGTATTTTCAAATTTGTTTTAGTGCTGAATCAAAATATTATTCGCCTGCTTCTGCTGAATGCATCCTGATAACGACTCTTCAAAAGTCTCTTGTTTGGTGTTGTACAAGTGATATAATTAGCTTATCTGTGCTACATTTGCAGTGTATATTGTTAGTTGCCTTTGTAGCCAGCTCACTGCAGAGATGGAATAAGTGTTCTCCTGGGATTTAACGCTACAGGATAAACATTCTATGTTTGTGTTCAATTCCATTAGGTGGGTTATTTGAAGATTGTATGAAAAATATTTTTGAATAGATAATACATTTTAGTGTTCTGATTGGTATAGAGTTCCAAATTTGAAGCCATGGCTTTCATTCCAATTTTCCTACTTTTCATAAAATCATATTTGTTTCTTGAGACCTAAGAAATGCCTAAAATAACTGTCAGCTGTAAAGAGTTTAGCTATTTATGCTTCAGATTTAAGACCATCCCAATCTTGTTCCCTACACTGCTCCTTAGTGTTCAAATGAGTTTCAAGGATGAGATTAACTTGTTCAGATTTGACTTGTTGCAGTATGTGGTCTGTGTTTTGAGGAAAGAAGCAAATATTGACCTATCATCCTGAAGCCAAACAACCTCAATTGGCTAAGCATAAAGTATTGATTAAATAGTAGAAAAGTACATGTTTTTAATTCAATTACTTTTTACAAGAGTTTAGTGTTTTTTTTCCGAGACTTTACGTTATTCACAGATTCTCACTTCTTCCACTCACAACGTCAATTACTAACTGGGGAAAAAAAAGTTTTGGAAGTGTGAAATTTGTTAAGTAATATATGTTTGTATTTGTAACCCATCCTTTCTACTGTGGTTAAATTCATGAACTTTTTTTCTCTCCCTCTTCTTCTCGTCATCTCATCCCTTTGGTTACTTGGGGTGAATTGTCCTGAAAACCCTTGATGAACTATAGAGACCTTTGGTATGCGCATTATTTCATAAGAAGTCCAAAGTCACAGAAAGTAAATTTTATACAAATGATATATCCAGAAAATTAACTTTTACATTTATTTTAATAAGTACAATGCAGCAATATTAACCTTAACACTAGCCTTGACGGGAGTATATGGTATCAATCTACAATTTGACATTTATGTAGTCTATTCCTATCTCTTTCTAGACATAATGTATTTTACTCTTTGTGACTCGGTTATTGTATGTTTTATTCAAACTGAGAAAATGCTAATTGTGTCTGTTTCATGTTGAGAAGACTGAGGTACCATGACCAGTTTGTGGATACGAAAATGTTTAAGCATAACAGGAAATGTAATGTAGTAATGTTTATTCACTGTTAAAAAAAAATAAATGTTGGAAATCTCCATCAGGTCAATAAGCACCTGAAAGCAAACAATGGGCTCATTACAATTTTTATTTTCAATGAATATTTCATTTATTATATAAAATAAGTTAATTAGCTGTTGATCTTTGGGAAATGTGTTCAATTTCTTAGTAATTTACTTTCAAATTAGAGCAGATCAAAATAAAGTCAAATTGACATTTAGATTTTTTTAAAAAAAAGCTTAAAAAATTCAACCTTCTGTGACTATGGGCAGCTTTGATTTGCACTGTTTCATATAGCTATAGTACGTCTTTGCCTGTGGTAATGTTTCATTTTCATTCCATAGCTTTGTAGCTGTGTAACATTAAAACTGCTTGCCTAGCTATTGCTTTGGGTTTTTATTTTCAATTTTTTTTTGAAATTGTGTCTTGTGAACTTGTAGCTATTGGAAGAAGAAGCTTAGTTTGCACAACAAAAAAGTTGAAAATTGAAGTTTGATATCTTGTGTATAAACCGCTTACACTTTTTTTTGTAGTCTTTAAACAGGCTTGATTTTTCTTTTGTGGACTGATGTGCTACCTATAGACTGGATATTGTAATGGACATTTTCCATTAAGTACTTTAACACACCCAATTACGTTTTTTTTTCAACCTTGTATCTTTCTTTTATAGTGAAAGAGTTCTTAGCCAAAGCCAAAGAAGATTTCTTAAAAAAATGGGAAAGTCCTCCACAGGTATGTATGTATGTTTGCTGTGTTTGTGCATCACAGTTATAGGAAGCTTATGCTGCCCAAAGTCTCAAAAAGCACTTAGATGTGGAGGGAGAACAAGAGTATCAGGTGCTGCAGTGGGTTAATTGAGTGCAATATCAGAAACCGTTGTTAAGAACAGTTTAGTTTTAGTTCTAAAGTGTAGCAACCTTTCTATAACCCTACAAAAATAAAATAATCATAGCTTTTGATATTGTCTCCTGTTGTGAAGACATCTCAAAGTGCTTCGTAGAATTTACTGTAAAGTGCAATAACTGTATTTTGTTGGTAAACTTGGCAGCCTACTTTTGCATAGCAATGTTGCAGTTGAAGTTTTTGTCCATTTCAAAATGTCAGTATAATGCTGAGCCATATTCAAGAGCAATTTTCTAATTGTCCCTCCTGGAAACTGTGAATGGAGCCAGAATCATAACCTCCTATCCTGCTTTCCACAAATGTCTGCTGATTGACGCACAAACTCAATTAAGTGAAGTGATGGAGAGAAATGAATGGCTACACATGTTTTATAATGGAAAACTGATGAGACCCCAACTAGAAATCCAGAGTCCAACTCTATTGTTCGTTGGCTTTCTGTAATGTGGAGTTAGTAGACTTGATCAAGTTTGAAAAATAAACTGCCTGAGATGGGAGTGGTCTATTTCCCACATCTAGACAGAATCACTAAGAAATATTAATGTCAGCTTGGTGAAATTTGTAGTGAGGAGTATCAAGCCTTCTCACCCTGGAAAGGGAAATCGTAAATATGTATGAAGGAGCAATTGCAATATAGAGATTGACAAAAAGAATAAACTTGCCGTTTGTCTTTCAGAACACTGCAGGCCTAGATGATTTTGAAAGACAAAAAACACTTGGAACGGGTTCTTTTGGAAGAGTTATGTTGGTGAAACATAAAGGTACAGAGCAGTACTACGCCATGAAGATATTGGATAAACAGAAAGTAAGTATGTAAATTTAGGAAAGAACAGGAAATTAACTTCTGTGCAAACTTAATACAGCATACGCAAAACAAATAGAGAAACAGTTGTCAACTTTTTCTATTTATTTTGTGTATGCTGTATAATGCATTCTATTTTTGCATGGGCTTTATTTGATGTTATGCAATTTAAACAGTCTTTAAATTTACATTTAAACTAAGAATATTGCTGAACTTGGTGCGAGCAACAAAAGTTTTGGGCTTTTCAAGCACACTTTTTGGAAAGGATCTGCTTGCAGAGGAGATGGTTTTCTTTTCCTGAGGAAAATATTAGCTAATCTGCTTAGATGTTTTGTGATTGTGGCTTTTGGTCTGTTTGTTACATTGACATTGAAAAGGTCAAGTTGAGATGTGTCAATTAGTAAAACTTGAGACCATTTCCTTTTTAAAGTTTGAATGTGTAAGTTAGTGTTATCATGCTAGCTAACTCCAGAAGTACATTTGAGAAAACTGACGAGTATCAAAATAGATAGAAATATGAAGCACAGACTTCTGTCATTCAAATTAGTACATTTCCATAAATTCATGGCATTATTAGTTCACTAGAATAAAACAACATGCACTTACAAAGAAAAACATCTCTGATCATCTGTTAATAATTCAACAGCCTCCCCTTCCCCCCCGACCCGGACCTCAGCTCGGGTCTGAAATGTTGTACACTGTCCAGCACCTTGGGACGTCATCCCGACGTGAAAGGCGCTATACAAATGTAATCTTGTTGTTGTTGTACTCCAGACAAAACAATAAGCCTGAGAACGCACCTCAACATACACAGCAAAGATCAGCTCCTGGAAATCCCTCAGGGACAACTGATTCTGTAATACAAAACTTAATAGGGAATGGTAAACCCTCGGACACAACCAATCCTATAAAAACAATACTTAATCACAGAACTATCACACAGAATCACTGAGAGTGCTTCAACAGAAACAATCAGCTCTTAGCCCAGCACCTCAGTTGAGCTGCTTAACCTGACTTCTGCGTTTCAAACGGACCAACCACTACTACTGTTATTACTTCTCTGCCTAGCAAATAGAACTGAAAACATATTACCCACTATTCCTCCTCCTTCACTTTTAATGGTCACTTTCTTACTGGAGGTAAATTCCCTCACCCCTGTACATATACACAGATACAGTAGAATCAATATTGATTCTACTGGGAAGTGCACTGACCCTCTACACACTTCCAACTATTCCAAAGTTACAGCTTTTATGTGTTTCTAACTCCACCTCCCCAGATAGCACCCTCCCTTCACAGACTGCTTTGCGGAGAGAGAGATATGGACAACTTCCGGGAAGCCTTCCACAGCCTGCTTGTTTCTCAGCCTTGAGTTAGGCTGCAGCCTTTTCTTTCTGTGGTCCATTGTTCTTACATCTATGCTCAAGAACCCGATTGCTCATTATGTCAGAGCAGTGAACATCTCCCCAGGAAAATATGAAATGCAATCAGAAGCTAACTTCAACCCGTCCAGCAAAGCTACTTTCAACCGTTTAACTATCAAACCTTCTGGAACATTCCGTTTCTGTTTGAAATATACCAATGTAGCCCAAAGTGATAGTCAATATATTTCAACACATCATAGGGACTGAGTGGGAGCCCAAAGAGGGGATTCCTTAAGGGATCCTCTGTAGAAAGGTTTTGAAAACTGAGGGAGGATCTAAGATGAAGGGATTAGGGAGAAAATTCCAGAGAGTGAGATCAAAGTGGCTAAAAGCTTGTCTTCCAGAAGGAGGGGACTGTATGAGAAGCAGCTAGCCTTCAAAAAAGTTAGTTCATGGCAAATTAGTTTACATCAGTTTTCAACTTTGTTTACATTTTATACTATATAACTCAGATATTGGACTTGTATGAGAAAAGATGGTTACTCAGAGCGAGCCAGTTTGGATTTAAGCGTGAAGTTACATGACATTAAATTCACACACTGATTGACAGATTTCACATCTTTGGAATTATGTGCTCAGCTGAAGCATATAAAGTCTGTATGGAATTTATACTGCAAATGGAAATTCCATTTGTGAGCATTTCATTAACATTCATGTTTGATTAACTGTCTAAATCAACTGATTTAAATGTTATTAAGTTCAGAGCAGTAAAAAGTTCCAGTTCTAGAATTCACTTCATTCTTAACTTGGTTAATACATTTCTAGTATTAAGGTTATTTTGTAGTTTTAAATGATAGAAAATTGGTTTAAATTAATCTTTTCTCATGTTCTACAGACAAGGCATTCACACATTGATCTGTAGATATAAAAAATCTACATACCAATGACCATGTTAAAAGTATAGTTCTAAATCAAAATTATTTTGTGAATGACCTCAATACTAAGTTGCGTTCATGTCACCTAGGTTTGATTTGATCAAGAAAGAGCAACATTTATGATGGAATAATCTTACTACTCAAGAGTTTTTACTGGTGAATTTGTAATTTTATTGCTTAAATTTGAAAGTGGAAGTATTGTCTGTCCAAAGTAATCCTCTTAGACAGAGGATACCTCTAAAGAGAAAATCTAGGTTTTGTGGCAAAGAATTACTGCTTTTCTACAGTGCCTGGGATAATAAAAATAATACTCATTGCATCTGATATAGCGCCTTATGTTGTTAATGTCACAAAGCATTTCACAAGATTTACTGTGAAGTGTAGTGGATGTGTATCTGTAGGCAATCTGTCTCCTTTCCTAGGCTGCTCTGGTGACTGTGTTATGGGTAAACTGGGGCATTTTCTGTAGCAGTTTCTCTTTAGTTTAAGGCCAGTGACTTGGGTTTAGCTCCTGGCAGTTGATCCAGAGGTGCCTATGAATTTGAGGTTACTTGCTGCTACTACAATTTGACCTAAATTGCAAATATATGAAGGTTTTTTTTCTCCTTCTTCCCACAAAAAAGTTAAATTATCTTTATAAAACTGTGGAGACTATAATTGTTTTGCTGAAATTTAGTAATGGTTAATTTCCCTTGATTTTTTTAATGTAGCTTTCATGATTAATAGTAAGTGCTCATTATATAAAGTGGTAATGTATTCCTTCAGCGAAAATGCTGTTTTCTGTCCTTTCTCTTTAGGTTGTCAAACTGAAGCAAATAGAGCATACACTCAATGAGAAAAGAATATTGCAAGCTGTTAATTTCCCATTTCTGGTGAAGTTGGAGTATTCCTTTAAGGTAAATGATGTTTTGAAACTAGTTATGTTGTGGAGCTAGGAAGCATCAAAGTGAACAGAAAAGAGGATTTTTTTGGAATTTCCGCAGCTTATATTTTCTTAAGGTGCAAGTGATGCTGTCTGATAAGGATATCAAGGGAGCAGAAGTGAAACTGAATTATGTATAGTGCCATTGTAGTTTGTAAATAGGTTCACAACTTTTCTATTGTACAATATCGCCCTCTGCTAGTTTAAAATGGTACTGTATTAAAACCTGTCTGGCTTAAATTATTTTTTTTAACTGGAAAAGGCCTTCCAGGTCACCAAATAGTTTCTGTTACAAAGTATGATTCACTCAATCATGAGTCCTACCTGACTGAGTTTTCTCTTGAGGAATAGTCAGGTAAAGTTTTCTTCTTTCCATCTCCCAAAATGAAAAACTTCAGAATATGTATTTATTTCTCCCACATCCTTGGCATTTCTTGTTTACAGAAGCTAAAGTTTTCCATTTAGCTTCTTATTACCATTATCCATATTTATCCATTTAACTCTTAACATCTATTTCTAAACAAATATATTGTTAAATAAGTTAACATAGCATTAATGTTAATGGCCCAGCTTACAGAATGCTTATTCTGATTCTTCTCTCTGCCTTTTAGGACAACTCTAATTTATATATGGTGATGGAGTACGTTCCAGGTGGTGAAATGTTTTCACATCTTAGGAGAATTGGAAGGTTCAGGTAAGATATAGATGACAGTTACTATTCACTTTCCCTAAAAATTACTATTCATGAATGTCTTAAAACCATCAAACTAAGCCTTTTGGGTTATTGGAGTATTTTACTCGTTTCTTTTCCACACACGGTGGGTATTGACTTAAAGTAGCTAATTGCTCTGGAAAGATTTTGTTTAAACATGTTTTGCTTTGTCACAACATCTTGAGATTTGCTGCATCCTACATCCGTCTTGTCATTTTTACTTTTATTTCCAAGGCCCTGCAGTTGTCATTCATATCCTCAAATTTGAATTATCTGTTTTGTGCAAGAAACTTCGCTGAACAGTATTTTTTTCTATTTTTGGCTATTTTAAAATAAAATCAGTATTTTATTTATTGTTTAATTAGTGCCTTCAAATATTATTTCTGTGTACAGTTAGAGTACACATTGGGATTTCGGGGGGTGGGACCTTGAATACTTTAGAATGATTTGCTATTCAGGGAGAGGAATTTTTTTTCTGTAAAGTTTCTGAAGTTGAAGAGAATTGAAGTGTTGCTTTTTCTCCTTCTCTCTTCCTCTTTCTTATCCCCATCTCCAAGTTGAAGTTGTGCACTGAATTCAGATTTGTATAAGTGTATGGTAATAAATAATGAAGCAATCTGGATCCTTGGTAAATTACCGCATCAGTTGAAGCTCATGCCCCTTGTCGTGTTGACAGTGATCTGGTCATTCTCACCTGGATTACTGATTATAATTCCAGTTGCCACAACTTAAATTTGTTGTAGAGGCAGCTCAGAGGAGTGAACTTGGCTTATCCTGATGTGATCTGGATCATCTCGCTTGGAGTACGGATTACAGTTCTGGTTTCTGTAACATGAATTTACTATACAGACTGTAAAAGCAGTACAAATGAGAGCAACTAGGCTCACCCGGGGTTGAGAGATGAACTGTGAAGAATCACTTGATAAAGGCTCTTCAGCAATGAAAATAACTGCCTCAATTAGGACCTAACAGAGATGTACATGACAGGATAGGTAAAGTAAACCTGTAATCTTACTTCCAGGTATGTTAAGGGCATTGGTTAGGATTGTGAAAGACACACTTAGGACAGACACCAAGAAGTATTTTTCTTCAGAAGGTAATCGGCAGCTGGAATGAGTTACTGGTAATGATGGTGATAGGCCAGTGCACTCATTTGAGAAACTATGCTACATGGGAAAAATGTAGATTTGGAAGTTTGAGATCAAAAGGGCAAAAGAAGATCTCTTGGGTGATCTTGTGAATTACTTTTTAGTATTCTGCATAAAGGTATTCCTCAAAAAAGCTAAAGTTTTTGACAAGTGTGGTTTTCTTCATATACAGGGTTCATTCTTCTCCTGCTAGGTCTAGGCTTGAGCTCTTACTTATGCACAGGTTGTCCTAAGTAATGCTGTTTCCAGTCAAAAAAAGCTGAGTGAGGTAAGATTAGCTGAGAGTACTATATAGGTTATGTGGATTGTTATGAGATGATGTATTGACAGTTCTCTTAAAGCGGAGTTGTAGTGTGAGGTAAGAATTAAGCATATGCCTTATAAAACTGGCACTGAGTACAAGTGATTGCGTATATAAAACTGACCAGACCAGGTCAGTATAATACACAATCAATGTTTCCAGAATGAGTGATGTTATTTGTTGGTTTGGCCCATATGAAAGTTGTAATTAATTTTTTTTAAAAACTTGCAGGTTTTGATTTGGTATTTTTCTGGAGGCAGATCACTAAAACTGTGGTTTGTCTGTTTTTATTGTAGCAAACTTGAAGAGAGTTTCTTCCCTAGTTCCCACCTCTCCTGGAGGTTACCTGTTGGTTTATAATTCTATAGGAATCGATGCACCTCCATTCTTCCTATTTGAGCTTTGACCATAGATATTAGTATGCTTTGCTCCGGCTGCAGTCATCACAACTGAATCTAATTCCATTCACTCAGTTCTCGTATTAGTCACTGGATAGGAGGGGAAACCCTGGCTAATATTCTGCCCAAGCTACTGAGGTGAATTGTAGACCGCAATGCAAAATGAAATCCCAACTGAAACTTTAAAACTGCAGATCATAGATTGAAGTTGAGAACTTCCTACTTGTGCCATGTAATCAATTTCAAGGCATTTGGGCATTTTAGTATCATTATATGAAGTATGAATTATTGTAATTACAGTAATATTCGTTGAGGTGGGTACTTCATATAATATCCATACAATATTATTTTCAAAAATGTAGTACAAAGAGAACACGCATTTTAAACTAATTAAATGTTAACTAAAAAAATTCTGTAAATGTTATTGCATTTGTTGACATAATGTCATTGAATACTTAATGCATTAGCTGTTTTGGTCAAGTTAATCCCTGAATAATTTGAACAAATTGTTCCTCCTTGCAGTGAACCTCATGCACGATTTTATGCAGCTCAAATAGTCCTGACCTTTGAGTACCTCCATTCACTAGACCTCATCTACAGAGATCTGAAGCCAGAAAACCTTTTAATTGACCAACAAGGATACATCCAGGTATGGAAATTGCAGCGATGGATTTTTAAAAAATTCTTATGATTGAAGTAAAGTTCAGATCAATTAGCCTTTTTAAAAATTATAATTGTCCAAACACTTTTTTTTAAGAACTTTGCAGAGCAATTTGTTGTTCTTTTCTTTGTGCGCTTGAAACACTTTTTTTAAAAAACATTAATCCTATTTAGTTAACTCCATGTGCACCTTGGATTAACTGGATTAAAGCTAGTTGTGGCGCTGTCATTGATGGCTCAGTGGCACACAAAATTGTACAATGTAACCTTTGTAGAGTTAAAATCGTTCCTAATATTTTTTGAATTTACTAACGCTCCTTACAATTTTGTATCCGTGTTATTGTTTTGGTGCTGTTTACCCTAGAAAGCAAAATATTTATTTGAAAATAGAAGTTAAAATTTAATGTTCTGATATGTTCATAGGTCACAGATTTTGGTTTTGCAAAAAAGGTAAGGGGCAGAACTTGGACGCTTTGTGGAACTCCAGAATACTTGGCTCCAGAGATTATTCTCAGCAAGGTAAATTTGAAAGAGAAATTCCAAATCAAATTTGCCATTTTATTATGCCATTGTACATAATTACTAGAATTTGTTTATATGAATGTTTGACTTATTTATCAATTTTCTTTCACTTCAAGAATCTTTGCAACAGCGCTTTCAAATTGTTTTTCAAAGTCAAACATTCTAGCTGCTGTAATTTTTATTTACAGTGAAATGTAATTGTTTAGGTAAATTAGAATGCATGTGTATATTGTCTTTTTTTNGTAGGGCTACAACAAAGCAGTGGACTGGTGGGCACTGGGGGTTCTAATCTATGAAATGGCAGCTGGATATCCTCCTTTCTTTGCAGACCAGCCTATACAGATCTATGAAAAGATTGTCTCTGGAAAGGTAATGCAATTATTTTATATTGGATTCCATAGAATATATTTAAGTCCAATGTGTTGTCTGTTTTCAAAATTTCTAATTACCTTTTCAGTTATTTTGGAAGGTTTATTTGGATATGTCTATTAGTCTTCTGAAGTACTTCACTAGATTTAAAATGCAAGCATGGACCATATAAACTAAGAAGGTCCTTTCTTTTGGTTAGCCGGGTGTCTGACAAATACTAAAGCCCATCACAGTGATTGTACTTAATTCCTGCTCTGGTTCTGATTTTCTACAACAATAACAATTATGTTTATATCGGTTTTCATGTGGGGAGATGCTGAACAGTCGAAAGGTTGCACCCAAGTTAAGAGTTGTGATAAAGTTAGGGTGGGGGTCAGGGTTAGGTGGGGGTGGGAGGATGACCAAAGGTGCATTCAAAGTGGAAAGTCTTGAGAAGGACTTTGGGCCTAGCACATCCTTGGGCCTAGCATGTGCTAATGCCTCACCGTCCTTCTGGCCTTCACAGTAGCCAGGGATATCAACTTTGACTCGGTTCGAATCTCGCGAACAGAAGATAGCCTATTTGCTCTCTTCTGCTTGTGGGACTCGATCATTGCAATGCTGGTGCAGGGACCTGGCGTTGTAATTCCACCTTAGTCTGAAATTCCGGCTTGCTGGATCTCTCCCCCCATTAGTCCGGCTAAAATAATACTGTTTACCACAATTTTAATTAGTCATTGTAAAAAAACAACTTTTAGACTGATGGTTTGTTGTCTTGTATAGGTACGGTTCCCTTCTCACTTCAGTTCAGACCTGAAAGACCTGCTGCGAAATTTACTTCAGGTAGATCTGACCAAACGATATGGGAATCTCAAGAACGGTGTGAATGACATTAAGAACCACAAGTGGTTTGCCACTACAGATTGGATTGCCATTTATCAGAGAAAGGTATATGCATTATCTGACTTTCATAAAAGTTTTTTTTTACAGAAAAGCATCCTAATCGTTCTAGCAGAATTAGGAAATCCAACAGGTATAGTGAAGAATGAGATATTTTTCATTCTCCAGATGCAATTGATCATTTGAAATCCCATTGGGGGAGTTACAGGTATACCTGCTCTCCTTTATAAGCACATCGGAATAAATAACACCGCAACCTTCCTCATTTTTTTCTCCCACTGACATTTCTGATTCACACTAATTTTGCACAAGACTACTATATTGATGTTTGAATGAGCATAAATAAATATGTTTAAATATTTTAGTTACAAATGATTTTCATATTTTTGCAAGCCCGGTCTTATTGTAGGGAAGCTTTTCCCATCACCAAATGTCATTTAACCCTTGACGTCGCATCATGCTAATGCTGCTGAAGGTTCCTAGGAAAAAAAATTGCAAAATTTGAAGCGCTTATCATCAGATATATCATAGACCATTAAATGCTCAGTCATTCAACTCAATTTTGATCATTGCTCTTATGAGCTCGAGCAGGAAGAGAGTGCATTAGGCATTCTCTTTCAAAGGCCACAGGGTTAAGCATCACATGAATATAAATGTTTGAGGGGTATCTACTCTTGATTCTAAATTGGACTTTTTCCACTATTTATGATCATGTTACGCTCACTGGAATAAGCAATGAAGCTTCAGATTGTCTAACTGTCCTTAAATCACTTGAAGGATAATGTTTGGTATATGGTAGTGAGGGCGGACTAACATGATATTGATATAGCGTAACAAATTGTGGGCTAGGATTTGCTTTCCTGGCCTTTGTGCCATGCAGAATTGGCAGTGGTAGAAATGGCTGATTCATGAAGTTCACATATTGGTGGGGTCACAAAATGTGCTTCAGAAGAAACGATAATTATTGCACACACCTTTTTGTGATGCATTGTTTGAATTTAACAGTACTTTGTCACTCAGTGTTCCAAATTAACCTGAAGATTAGTTTTCTACAAACCCTGGTCTCATGATGCCTACATGAGTGTTCAAAGTGTGAAGACCCCAAAAGGGATTTTTTCCCTGTAGGTAATTGCAAGTATATTATTGCATATAGTTGATCTTCAGTTTTAAAAATGGACCATACCCAAGGTAGTTAATCTAACATTCAGTTCTGTTAGGCAAATGTATTAAATTGGCAAGCACTGTTTGGTAAGAGTTATGGAGGCAGCATGAAAGTCTCCAGGTTTCAGGAAAGAGCAGCCATGGATTGGAATGCTGCAGTGAGCTCTTAAGTAGTCATTGATGCGTGCGCTTTGCTTGTAAAGCAATCGTACATAAAGAATAACTTTAACTGCAGCATTCTTGATCAGTATTTTGTATAAGTAGTTGAAAGTTTTTATTTTTTATATTGAGATGCAATAGAACTTAGTTTTCTGTTTTCCTGACCTTTGGTCCATGCACTTTATGGCTATCAGATTCTTGGGTAATTACATCTGGCTCAGAACAAGTGATTTTAATCTTTTTATTGTGAACATTATTTTCCTCACCTTTCAATCTTCCCCAAAGAGAAAAATATTATCCATGGTGTAGAACCAAGCTAGCAATCTGCATTGCTGTTCTTTAACCAGCTGTTAGGATTCTTTCTCCTCAAAAGGAAAGCCATAATTGCAATAATTCATTTTTCCTTGTGTTGGAATGGCTTTAGATCGTCTGTTTAAACTGTCCAGTTCCCCCAAAATCTGAGATGAGGACAAAAGAACTTAAACACAATTTGGGCAATCATCCATAAGTGGAAATGTTATTTCTAGAAGCATAAAAAGTAGTTTTAAATGTTATTCTTTAAAATTACACTTTTTTGGGATTGTTTAACACCATCCCTGTAAGCCCACTAAACATTTTTTATCTGCAAAACACTGTAGCTGCACCATTATTGAAATATTTCCATATTTAATAGGAATGTCGTCCTGTTTCTTTTTCTTGCTTACAATCAAGAACATCAGGTTTGTAAATGCCCTCACATAACAGCATCATGCTGAGCATTCACTTCATTTTGTCATCTGGTGTGCATGTAAAGCTTTTAGGATTGGGCTGCTGGCTATGTGCTGATCTTGGTGTGCAAATGATGTCGCAAAGATGCTGTTGCTATCAAAAGTGCCTGGGGTGTAGCACAGATCGTGTGAACAGCCCAACTGGCCAGCAGTAACACAGTGCCCCTTCAAGACTTCTCTTGAATTGCTAAAAAAAAAATTCACAAAGAATAAAGCAAAATTGCTACAAATTAAATTTTCGAGATAACCAGGAAATGTGCTTAAATTTTAGTTTTAATTTTCAGCAGAACAGTTGTTTGAAGAAAGCTTTTTTGCTGATGGCAACGGGCTCATATATTGCCACAGCAAAAGTAGTATCTAAAGTACAGGACAAACGTATGTTTTTTACTGAGCTTTATTCATTTGTCTTACATTACGGTAATATTGATTTCAGGTGGAAGCGCCATTCATACCAAAGTGCAGAGGTCCTGGAGATACCAGCAATTTTGATGATTATGAAGAGGAGGACATCCGTGTCTCTTTAACCGAAAAGTGTGCTAAAGAATTTGCTGATTTTTAGAGAGAAAGAGACCGTCAGGGCTTGTATTGGGATCTTTGCACTCTGCTAACAGATGGGGTGGAGCTGAAACCATCTTATTCGTCGAAACAGTTACTTAGTTTCTTCATTCCACAAGGCTGAGGTCTCTTGCCATAATTCATGTGTGCAATTGGCACAACCCTAATACACCGGCGCATTTACGCAAGGCACTACCCGTGCTAAGACACAAAAACTAGACCACTTTCTTATCGTTTCCTTCCTTTCTTCCTTTATGTTCTACAGCAGTTGACTTTGTGTCATGTAGTTTGTTTTTCCCTTTAAAAATGGCAATATACAGAGAGTGAAACATTTTGTTTAAGTGTAAAGATAGAGCAAGTGTTTCAGGATTTTTTTGCACTTGATGTGATTTAGCCCGAAGTGAAAGCTGAACGTTGCTTCTAGTGTTCGCCAGCCACAATACCTGTCTGTCGCGTCTGAGAGATCACAGTTGTAGAACACCTTATCTTGTAGAAATTAATATCAGACTCCTAGAACCTAGACAGCATTTTTTGGCATCCTTTTGGAAGTAGTACTTGTTCTCTGTGTATTTATATATAGACTGAACAAAAGCAAGTTCTCCTGGACATGACCAAAATGAAATAGAATTGATTGAATGGTGGAGCAGGTTATGCAGAGCCTGTGCCTTGAGTACTCCTATATTATAAATTCAGCTGCCCCTCCCTACTTTTGTATTCATCTGGGCAGGATCCAGGCCTAAAATAAACAGATACTGCAGTCTGCTGAATACCATCGGAGTAAAGCTGCCAGCAAATCTTTAGACTAGCTTTTGCTATATCATTTGTAGCTGTGTTGTACCAGTATGTCAAATCATAGATAGTTTGTGGGATTATCCTCCTGCAAAACTTAATTTCATTGTGTATCCATTAGCAGATGATTGATGAGGTCCTGTTACAAGTGGTATGTTTTAAAAGGAAACCGAAGCAGCTTCAGTAACTGTCAGGGAATGGAGCTAAGAAATATTGGTTTTAATCATGCTGATTTCACATTGGAAATTATAAAAGACATGGTAAATGTTTTGCATACAGGTTCACTCACTAGCTGTATACAACATAGTGAACAAATGAACCGTTTGCACGTGATGCTCATATATTGGAGCTGCAGTCCTCAGTTTTTTTAAAAAAAAAGATGCTGCAAAAAAGAAATGATGGTCACTGCCAGGATTATGTTTGATTCTGAGGCACAGTTTTGTGATGCTAAAATGATGTTTGGGCAAATGCTAAAATATAAATCACTCCATAAAAGCTTTTCAGAATATTAATTTTAGTGCTTTAGATCATGCATTGCAAAAAGTACTTAACACAGGTAACAACTGCCACGTTTCCACTATCTCTACATTTTTTTTATAAGTTGTCTCCCTGGGAACAGAAAGTAGAGTTGCAGGTATTAGGCTCAGTTACTAGTTAGATGCATTGTCATATAATGACATAATCTGTTGCTAAGGAAAAGGCTAGTGCTGCTCTGTGCTAGCTTGAGCACCTTTCCTCATGTATTTCAGTGTTTAAAATTATGGGCTATGGATTCAGTGGATCTGTACACATTTAACATTTTTTAACCGACTCATTTTAATCAATTAGTTTTATTTGTACACTTACGGCACAAAAGTTTTGATCTCTCTTTCTCTCGCTCCATAATATATATATTTATGTATGTATATGTAATAAACCTGCTCTCTAGAATGGTTCAAATGGAATTGGTTTCTTATGTACAGAAGCAGGCCGAATTCAGATTGGTTGAAATATGTACGTGGCAGAAAAGCAATGAGTTTTAATAAACCAACTTGATTTGGCATAGATCCAGTGTATTTGCTTGTGTTAGCACTAAAGAAACATTGACACAATGTCCTCTTAACCTGAAGGGCACTCATGGAAGTAAGGCCTTTGTAGACATTTGCATTACCAGTATGAGCTGTAATATCAAACATTCTGTTTGTCATCTTGGCTGTCAAACATTTGCACAACAATGTCATTACAAGGCTGACACAGACAGCAGTTTTTTCATCCACCCGTATTTACCTGTATGTGCAAGGGAAGTATAAGATACTTTGCTGTAGCAGATTTTATGTAACTAAAGAAATGTAAGGTCACATTAATAAATTTAAAAGTTCCTTTGTATGAAAACATTAAAATCTTTTGTATTTCATTTAGACTGAGGACATGCTGTTGTATGCTAGCTGTATGCGATAAATTCTACAGTAACTTTGTTGTCGTTTATGGACTTAAAGGTTTTAATAAACGCTGAAGATCACATTTCTGACTGGCTTATGTTCTTCAAATTTTGACAGTCTGATATTTAAACAATATATTAAAACCTTATGAGCCTCTGTTCATAAATGGAAAGAAAAAAATCCTGACAATGTGTTATAGCATTTTCTTTAAGGGACATGATGCAAGTTTACATTTTCATGTTATGAAATCGCGTGCCCAGTACTTTATGTACAATAGAATCCTATTTATCTAAATACCAGCTTATTTTTTTAAAAAAAGTAATTGTGTAACCTGGGATTTTGAATAATGTAAGTAAAATGCTGAATATAGGAAATTTTGAAGGCAAATTCATATTCTAAACACAATCAAAATAGATTTGTCATGTACAGGGACCCTTGATTGGACTTTTTTTTAAAAGTGTTTTACAATTTATGTCTTTCACCACTTTACCATTCCTTTGAGTGCTCTATTTTTTGGACATTGGGGGTAAAAAAATATTGCTGTAATTCTTTCCGGTTTGGTGTAATTTACTGATTTCCTGGATCAGGTAGATAGAAATGGAAAGAGTATGTGACATAATATTTATCACAGATCTCTGTCAGTGGTGCTGTAATCTAGCAATAGGAGCTTTGATGGAGTATCTTGCTTACAGTTTTTAATTTATTTTCTTGAAACAGAAGCTCATTGTGTTTTGATTTGATCATCATGCAGTGTGCTACCAATTTTCCATTGTGGCATGTTGATCAGCCTATGTAGTGGAGTTGCTGTTCAATTCCCAAGTGCTGGAGAATGAAATGTATTTTTCAGGACTTGATTTTAAAACAAATAGCAGAGAAACCTTTATTATCCTTTGTACTTAATATGACAACTGTCCATTTTGAAAACTTTACACTTTGTAAACTTAACATTTAGTTAACTCCTTCACAAACTAAATTTTGGTTTTGAATCTAGCTGGGCTAATTTTCTGAAATGTCACTTGTACAATAAGTTTGGTCTACAGTTTCAATTGTTCTTTAGATAATAGTTTACCTATCAGAAATTTGTTTCCTGAATCATTCAGAAAATTAAAAGCTTTAGCACCATAAACCATTTTGGGGGATAATCAACATTGTTTTGGTAAATTAATTCAAAATGCACATCTCAGACATTAGTTTTTCTGGGCATTTATATTTTGGATTTATTTTAACTAGTACTGTCTTCATTTCCAATACTGTATTAATTTCATACTACTGGTTCAGTATGCAGGCAAGTCTGTTCCCCATTGCATACCTTTATACTAATTTTGGTCCACAATTTCTCTGGAGGAGAAGATAACTACGACTGAGTACTGGTAATTCTATGTACTTCAGAATTGTAGGTTATTTGTGTGTACTTTTTGGATATACAGGAACTGTCTATGGAGCTCATTCATCAAATGGAACAGATTTGCTGATTTCTACGAGGGTTTTTTTGGAATGCATGTTTAACTCGTCTTGAGTGCAGTCTGTCTCTAGCAATGATTGCATGCTATATAGAGCTAAGGACTATGCCTCTTTCACAAGGAAAGATAATTTGTACCCACATTGCAGGCAGTCTTTTGTTTTTTTTTATTGTTTTTGTAACTGCTTTATTTTTGCAAATATTCACCAAGTCTGAAATTGGATTCGAGCAATGCAGATAAGTATATTCTATAGAGATGCTGCCTTCTTTGAACTGTTTCTCAATTTTCACGGGCCACAGTATTATAAGCAATATTGTATAAATTAAAAGTATTCCACACTAATTCACAAAGTGTTGGTGTACCCTGTTATTGTGTCACTAATTTATTGGATGATGTTTCTAGGATTACGTGTAACTTGACAATTGTGAAGGTTTGATTTGGGAGAGTGGGAACACATGGAGTCTTCTGTTAGCCTCCCATTTCCTTTACGGTATATGTAGAGCAGTACCTATGGATTTATGCCTCCATGAATTCTTATAAATGTGAAAGGACATTTCAAGTTAAAGAGATAGCTTTTATGAAAAAAAGTATCCGATTTCTTCATGCAAATTTGTGTGCTTTACATTTAATTAGTTGGGCATAAGCAACAGAAAAAAATAGTTTATTGAGCTGGAGTGTGATGTCGCGACTTTGATTGACGAGCATGGATTATTTTTCAACCCATACAAATCTTCCCCATGATCTATTTTTCGCTTGACAAACTGTTTTAAAAGGCTGTAGCTCTCAACCCTGTTTAAAGAACACTGGAATTCAGCAATCACGTGGAACTCTTATGGTACTTGCTTCGATGTGATCTACTTCCATTCTTAGAGTTCCCATAGTCTGTATAACACATGTATATCGATCAACAGAAATCAATATTCATGATTTACATAAATTTGAATTGTGAATATTTTACTTTTGACCTCACTAAAGATTGTTTTTTTTTCCTGTGTTTTTTCCAAGCAAGGGTATTTCTATAATTCCAGATTCAGTGAAACTTTCAAAGAGGAGGTTAAGCAGAAGAACAAATTCTAAAATTCCTCTGGAGGGATGCTATTTGAATCCAAATTTGGGAATTGTAGCAGTCATCTAAATCTCTTGAGGAATCCTTGCAGTAAAACATTGTGTTTTCCTTCATGCAAGCCCTTTGAAAATAATGCTCTGGTGATTTCAATGCTTCTGACTGTAACAGCCAATGCTCTAGTCTGGATAAATTGCTACCAAAAGAGAATAGTAAGTTTTATTTCAGTATTGTATGAGATCTTTGATAAACTGAGGAGAGCTGTTATAAGATCAGATGGTATTTTTTCATCGTCATAGGTTTGAAGAACAGGAATTATGTGATCTGGTCAGATCTGAGACTAATGACTGAGTTTTAATCCAACAAAATAAATTCAGTTTCCCTTAGGTTTTCTCAGAGGAAATTGCTTCATTAACCAAAATGCTAATTTCCAACTATCTCCATGTAAGATTTATTATGAAGTTATATTGCATTTTATGTTGGTTCAAAATAACAGACTCAACAAATTGAAGCAAACTCAGTAATTTAACCAGAGAGCCTTGTGCTGTGCCTAATGCCTAATTCAGACAAATGTTGTGTGAGACAGTTTAGGAAGTTAGTTTCACAACTCTGCTTCAGTAGAACAATCTGATTACTCATTATTATGGCTTGCCTGATTGTATTTCAATGTGTGATTGTTGATTGTGTACTTCTTCAGAAAAATAAACATTTAATATGAAAGAAAAATTGTGTATGTATTGCACAGATAATTATTTATGTTGTTTGCTGTATGTATCAACAATAATGAATTACATTTATATTGCGCCCTTCATGCCGGGCGGCATCTCAGAGTTTCATTTAAAACAAAAATGCATTGTATATTTAGAAGGGAAATGTGACCATGTGCTCATTCAAGTGAGCATGAATTTTCTTTTGTTTTAAAATGCATGTTTGGGGACCAAGAGACATGGAGAGTTAGCACCGTGATCTTTCACCTTTGGGACTCCTATTGCACGCAGTCGGCTCCTGAAAATCTTTTAAACAGTTTTTTTTAAAACTTGCTGAACAGGATGTGACTGCTCCACAGCCTCTGACACCAATACAACTTCACAAGCAGCTTTCAGGAAATGTGGCTGCTAGGGGATAAGACAGCTTGTGGAAACGATTGAGCCCAGAATGCAAGTTATCAATAGTCTTGCATGTCATAAGCTTGTAAACCATTCGACTTGAAAATCAAAATTTTTTAAAAATGTTCAACAGGAACATAATCAAGAATCTAAACTTCAAGAATTCAGGAGAGATGGGAAGTGCCGTCTAATTCTTCTCTGTTCAACCCACCCCTGTTTGCTCTTGCATCCATTTGAAATTGATGTCATCCATTCCAGATGGTGAATTGTAAACCTAATAAATTGAGCATAGCGTATTCAGTTTACTTTTTAGCTTAGCTTTGGCTGTGATGTTTGAAAACCATAATCAGCATAGATCTATTCGCTTTTCCTCTTTGGTTAGGTGTTTGTTTCTGTTACTGTATGCATTATTGGAATCTGTTAAAATAAAACCTCTAAGGAGAATCCTTCTTGTCAAATATCCAATCTTGAAATGTGGAAAGAGTCAGTGAACAGGTTGTGGAATACTTCACGTCTGCCACCAATGCAACTTCATAATTTTCAGGAAACACTTCTGCTGATGAAACAGACAGCTTGTCAGATAATGTGAGAATTTTTGCTACTGTTACCAGAAGTTTATTCAACCAAGAACTCATCCAAATTTATCCCACTTTGGGGCTAATGGGAAAAAGTTTAATGTGGGGCCTTAGAGCTGTTATCCAAAACACTGGCAACTAACATATTTGTGTCCTTAAACAAGAGCACCAAATGACCACACATATAGTACAAATATTTTAAAAGTGCCAAACTGTATAAACTTCACAATGATCTGCCTGAATGTCCATCTAGTTTATGTAAATCCTGGGAGCACTTAGTGCTTTTTGATTCCATGCTCTGTAAACCATCCTTCAGATAAAGTGTTAAAGCAATGTCCTCTCTGCCTGTTTAGGTGGATGTTAATGACGTTATTTGAAAAGAGAAGGGACTTTCTTACTGGGTCCTGGCTAACAATTCCTCAGATAAAAAATTGGTCATTCACTTCATATGTGTGAGATATTGCTGTGCACGAATTGGCTGCTACATTCCCCTACAGTCACTACATTTCATAGAAAACGCTGAAACACTTTGAGATGTTGTCATGTGATAACGTACTATATCAAATGTAAGGATTATTAAAGCTTAATCCCTCTAGCCCTGGGATATCAAATGCAGCCACATTGCTATTGTAATGCATGAAAGAGAAGTTGTGTGTATTCTTGTTGTATTCAGCATATTTTAGATGTTGGCTGAAGAGTAGAATCAATGGACCCTGGCAATGAGTCACACCCTATGATCTCACTGCAGGAGGTAGAAGCTAAGAGCAATACCTTTATGTTCTTTCATCTTGAAGCCCACCTAGACTCAATTTCCGACCCAAAAGGAGAGCATGTGTTTTCGGTGTCTCTGCCAAAGCCTATGTCTGCTGGAATATAGA